GGGGGGGGGGGGGGGGGGGGGGGGGGGGGGGGGGGGGGGGGGGGGGGGGGGGGGGGGGGGGGGGGGGGGGGGGGGGGGGGGGGGGGGGGGGGGGTTAAGAATGTAGTAGAAGGGTTAGACCTAGAGTGGGTATCAAACCAATTTAGCCTTTTGTACTGCATAAGTGGTGTTCATTTATTTGTCATCCTCTCTGTGTTCATTTAATTTTAATAATATAATTTCCTTAGTTCTAACGGAAGTTACCAACATGACTTGGCATGGATCCATTTCCTAATACTTTAGCTTCTGTTGAAATACTCTTCTGCTATTTGTGTGATCTTGGATGTGTGTAGTGTAATGTGAACATTTTGACGAGTAGCTCCATTGAATAACTACCTAAACTAAAAACCCACATATTGAGACTTGTGGCTTAGATAATTGAAAGATTAGGTCTCAATCTCTTCCAATGTTCTTCTATGATGACTTCATCTGCAGGATTATATACATAGAGTGGGAAGAACTGCTCGTGCAGGTCGTTCCGGGGTTGCCATTTCGTTAGTTAATCAGTATGAGTTAGAGTGGTATATGCAGATAGAGAAGCTGATAGGTAAGCAGTGGATGACCTTTTTTCTTCTTTTTTTGCAGCAACTATATCTGACTCTATTAACATGGCAGGGAAAAAGCTACCGCAGTTTTCCGCTCAAGAAGAGGAAGTTTTGATGTTGTTAGAGCGTGTGGCAGAGGCGAAGAGAATATCCATCATGGTATTAAATTATGATTACAATTTCTCTTTTAGGTTAAACTCTATTGTGTTTAATGTTAAAAAACTAAAATGTATTGATAGAAATCTCTCTGGTGTTATTGACAATCATCTGTGAAAGTTACAAGATACCCCTCTCAATCATTCACTAATGACTTATAGCCAAAAAAAAAATTTCCCCTCTGAATTTTCCCGATATACAAATGTAAGCGCCCAAAACGCCTATATCATGTGTCTAATAAGTTTTTGAATTTTTAATTTTGTTTCAAGAATTTATAAGAAATGTAAGGGACTGAAAACCAAGCTGATGAAATGGAAGCCGAACTTATATTAGCTCGGCTTATTCCTAAGCTATTATGTATGTTTTGATGGGTAACATAGCCCTTGCATCACTGTTCGTTCATTTCTTTTCTACTTTGGTTGATGTGGTTATTTTAAACATGTGCAGAAAATTAAAGAAACCGGTGGCAAAAAGAGGAGAGGTGGAGATGATGACGACGACGACAACAATGATGTTGAAAAGTATATGCGTCTCAAGACTGGAAAAATGTCTAAGAATGGAAAAACGTCCAAGAAGATGAAAAGAAAATGAGTAAAAAAAGTTGTTTATATTTATAATTTAATTAGTCTCGATTCAATTTTTGCTAGTTTTAGGTGAATATGATGTTCTTACGTGAATACAAATCATCAAATGAACGAGAAATTTTGACATTTCGTGTATTTAAGATACTTGTGATCGATTAAATATCATTGAACATGAGAGTAAAAAAAATTGATTTGATGGCTTTGACAAAGTGTTATGTATGTATATATTACATTTTATATGTTTATTATGTAATTACATTAAAAGTGTATTTTACATTTTGTGTTTTTACCATCATCTTTTTGTAAATTTATATTGATAATTGAATTAAATTGTTTTTATATAAGTTTATGGCTAATTAATAATAGCCTAAAGTTAAAGATTAAAAGAGAGAAAATTTGAAAAAATTATAGTTAATTTTAAAAAAATGTAAGTGATTTTTAAATATTTTTATTTGTATAAAATGGATATAATAATGGTTTAACTTTGATTTTATTACGTAATAATAAAACAAAAATACATTCGTCTTGCAATGTTTTAAAAATGTACTTCACATATTTTGAAAATCCCAACATTTATTTTTTTAGACAATTATTATCCAACCTTTTAACATTTTATTTTGTAGACTTTTCAAAATTTTTAAATTTGACCATTTAATATTCATTAATTTTATTCAATAATTTTATAAACATTTAATCTTTTACACCATAACTATCTTGCATCTTTAAATAAAAGGTTTATTATTCAAAATATTTTATATTCATAACTACGGACAATATCTATGATGAAAAAAAGGAGGAGAACGGGAAAACATAAGCCGAAGAAGAAGAAAAAAATGTGTGATGGAATCGGCCCCAACCTGTGGGAGCCAAATTTGTAAATTCAAACAAGCTCGAGCATAAATTAACAAGAACACGAGTTTTTTCAACGAGTATTAACGAGTATCAAATCTTAAGATTGTTCCTTAAATCTAATACTTTACGTGGAGAATTTTAGTTATCAATTTTGGTCTCTTATACGTAATGAATTAATTATAATCGAAATATTATTATGGTATTTGCCGGTAAAGTTTTATTATTAAAATGAAGTATATGATTTAAGTTTCGACTCAGAGATTTAGAATTTATTTTTGAGACTACGTGATTCTTTATGTTTTCTTTCTAAAAATGGTTGGACATGTATGTACGTTTCTCCGTTTGTGATTTGTGATTTGTGTGATTGTGGATTGAGATGCTTCATAAATCATATTTTAAATGTACGGAGACCTATTTTAATAAATGAATTGGTTGTCGTGATGAAAAATAATTTTATGATAATGACACGTTATGTGTTCGAGTTATTATTAGCCACCAACGTCACTGAAAAGGGGTGATCTAAGTCAAAGTTTTATTAATCACAAATGTACAAGTTGGGTGGTTAGAATCTTGATGTGCCTGATTCAGATTTAGGGGAGGTCATGATCGAATTGACCCGTTTTTTAAACTATATCTTATCCGATTACAGTAGTACCTTAGTGATTATTTTTAATACTCACATTTTTCAAAATGATTTTTACGAGTAGTGTCGAGTTGAGAAAATGTACTAGAGTATGACTCAAGTGTCTTACTTTTTTAATCGCTTCACTCGGGAAAGTATGAATTGACGTGCCCATTTTAAAATTACAAAGGCCTTATTTTAAGTAATGACCCCGAACAATACATATAAGAAAAAATCATATCGTTACAATTTTGGTGATACTAAACAAGCAGGTTCTTTATGTTCATTAGGTTCCCCCGAGATTTATTTATTAACTCTGAAAATAATTAATTTTAAAACCCAAAATGAATTAAATTAATCATATTTGATTGATTCATTTATCACCCATCCCTACTTTCACATGCATTACTTATTAAATTCAACTTATTATTTCAATTGATTTTATTGGTTGAACTTTGTATTATTGGTTGGTTAGTTCATAATTTTTTTAATTTAATTTTTAATGAGACATTAATTTCACAAATAAATTAGTAGGAATCTATAATAATTAGAAAAATAAAATTTATAATAATTAGAGGAGTTTGTGGCACCATGTAATGGCCAGCTACAATGCTGTAATGTGCTTAAACGACTTGGATTTATTATGAATATTCTATGTACGTCCTATGTTTTCGATTTCGTTGCGCGACACAAATTGTTCACGTTTGGTCTTTCGGTTCACGCAGTTGAGTTGTCATCGACTCATACGATGTTTTTGTGTCATTGTATCGTCACTTTAGTGTTTGTGACTGTAATCGACAATTCTTGTGCTATTTAGCTGATTATCACTTTACTGTTTGTGACTGTAATAAAAAATTATTGCGCTATTAGCTGGTGGTCTTTTAGTTCATGCCGTTGAGTTGTAATCTTTGATCGTCTCGTTTATTGAATAGTGTTGGTAAGTGATATGAACCAAGTCATCTCAATGATGCAATATAAACTTTAAGGAAAATATGGAGAAAATGTTGTTCAAATTATTACAAGACGTTGCAATTCATGCTACATTAAAAAAGAATCCAGTTTCATTTATTCGATAGTTACAAATTTTGAGTTGATGATAATTTAGAATTATGGTATTTTTTTTTAATGTATTTTAAAGCTTATTTACATAGTAGTAATTACTGTCATAAGATATGAACTATACAACTCTTGTAATGTTTCTCGGAAGACTAAGAGTTTTAATTTTGAGGATATAAAGAAGAGTGTCATTAGCTTAACGTGGTATTAAAAGTGTTACGAATTACGACTCTCCACAATGGTATGATATGGTTCACTTTAAGCATAAGCTCTCATGACTTTGCTTTGAGCGTCTGTAAAAGGCATCACTCCCAACAATTCTCAACAGAAAAAACGCAATATTGCATAAAGGATAGCTAGGACTCCCGTTTTAAGCATGTTTTATTCTTACTCAAGTGTCTTTTTAGGAAAATTCTAAGAAGTTTATCCACGTAAACACACTAATTTTGGAGTTCCTAGAACTGAACAAAAAAAATATTAATTTTATAGACAATAATTTTTAATTCTTTTAAACATATTTTAATCATCGTATCCTAAGAACGGATCTCATTCATATATGGTCTCAATTCATTTATATACTTCTCTTTTATTCAAAGTCGAAAGGGTAACACTAAATTTAATTATCTCAATATTTTAATTGTCTCCTCACTTGTTGGAGCTTGAACGAATACTCAACCAGTGACGATCAATAAGAATTAAAGACGAGCGTAAGTACAAGATTCTTGTGATCGCTTAATCATTAATGAATCCAAAAGCTCGGTGACTTTTAAAAATGGTTGAGATTTTTGTTTAGATTTGGGACGTATTGGTATTAATTTTGGCGACGAAAGAACCAAAATAAAATTATAATAAATGGGAGCATTATTATTTTTTATTATATGATGTGACGAGTAATGCTAAAATATTAAACGTGCCAAAAACATTTTCATTTATTTGATATATCTGTTTAAATATTAGTTTGGATTTAAAATTGGCTGTCATCCTTACTGTACAACAACAACAACAAATCTTTTGAGGATAATTTTTAATCTTCTTTATTCCAAAATTATTTTTTAATTTCCAATCATACCTCTAACTATCATTCATCAAACATTAAAATACAATAATAATAACATAAATATCATGCACGAGAAGAAACGTTAGTTTCGAGGCCATTTCGGTAAGTCAATTTTGAAAAGAATTACTAAAATAATTCATATTTGTAAACACCGACGGTAAATTATATCTTAGATTTTATTTTTACTAGAAACAATTTTAAATTGTTTATATAAAAATAATATGGTGACCAATGTCTCTGCAAAGTTTAACACATGGACCATGTTAAGGATATTTAGTAATAAATTATAGTTTACCATATATATTATATTTGATATTTTATTATAAGGCAAATATCTAATATTTGCATTATTATCATAGGTATCTTTTCATTCCATTTATTACTATTTCCATATCTTTGTAATTCATTTGATTATAAATAAGATCACTTTCACACCATTTAGGTGTGGTGGATTAATCAAACATTCACAGACCATGATAAAATTTAGCTAAATAATTTTGTAGAAGTTCGAACTTGAAATTGATGTCTTCGGCTCACATAGGCCACATTTACAACGATTTTAAATAATGGGTCCCTGTATTTATTTGTATTCCGTAACTTCAATAGTCGGCTCACAACATTTCTTACAATATTCCAGTCATATGCTACTTCAATATTTTAAGTAAAGACAAGATACCCACAGCATCGCAATTAAAGACCCTGACACAAACATCTAACTTCTTAATTAAATTAAATAAAAAACAAATAATTTTTTAATAACCTAAGTTGAATTTTAAATAATTAAAATAAAAAACAAAATAATCATTAAATAGTCTATAAATTTCTTAGTTTTATAATTCACTTCCTGCCAATATTAAAAAAAAAAAAAAAGAAAATGAAATTATCATTAAATACGACTTTAATTATTTGTTCTGTATGTACTTTTTTTTTTCTTGGACTAAAAAGTAATAATCAATTTGATTTCACCATTATTTTCTTTTTATTACATAAACCACACACATAACTTTGCCAGCACATTTATTTTTTATAAATATTCACCATCTAATACCAACCGCAAAAATAAATGTTTTTAAAATTAAAAAACAAACCCTAAACCAATCATTTTAAAAACTAAGGAATCAAATTAAATAAATAAATAATATAAACGCTATCATTTTTTTATTGGAATACCATCGACGACTTTTTTTTCCATTTTTCGAATGAACGCTACTAAGACGTTTAGAAAAAATTATTTCTCATTTTGTTGTCTTACAGTATTCATCGGAGATTATATTTAGAGGACAAAAATGATTAACGAAACCTTGCAATTCAAACCCGAACGCAAAAACATTATTTAGGGCATTAAACACGAATGTCAGATGTTATTAAAAAAACATAAAATATACTAACAACATGCATCCAACCAAATGGGGAAGAGAAAACCAAATAATATCTTTGTGTTTATATATATATATATATATATATCTATATATATATATATGTGGGTGTGTTGGGTTTCAAATTTGAACATAGAAAGGAAAAATGAATTGGATTTTGTTCATAATTGTATCCATTTTCATATCCTTTGTTGTAAAGTTG